TTCTCATAAGAAAATAATCAATTTGTGTTTTATTAGATCCACTCTTATAAGTAATAAGATGTTCATCCCTTTTCTTGAATAAAGTATTAGTAATAACAAAATCAAACGCTAAAGCAAAATCTAAAATAACTTTACCTTCTTCATTAGTTACTCCAAAACCGTAGCCACCATGAATATTTCTGAAATCTTCTACCACTCTACCGACATGTCCATTTAAATCTCCTCCAATAAAAATTCTTTCTTCAAGAGGTATCATTTGTATTAAGTCTTCTAAGTCATTCCAAAATTTATCTTTAGACTCTGTATCTAAACCTACTTGAGGAGCATAAACACTTATAATATTAAAAATCTTAGTATCAATGATAATCTTAAGGGCTATAATTCTATCACCAACTCTATTAATTTTTACAACATTATCTTTCAAACTCTTATCTATAATTACACCTACACCATTTCTAGTGCGACTCTTACCAGAATACCAAAGTTTAAAACCTAAATTATCAATCTCCTTAGCCTTTTCTCCCACCCACTTAGTTTCTTGAATACATAAGATATTAATTTTTCTATGAATCATAATATCAACTAATTCCATTAATTTACCATTGAGAGTGCTTATATTCCAAGATCCTATCCTAATATTAGTTTCATTAGTTTCATGGACAACTTCTTTACCCGCATTCGCCCGTAATGTGGGAACCCTTGCTTATTTAACACTACACCCGGGCGCCGGTGTAGCGGCCCTTGCACACTTTTCACTGTATTCAGGCTATACAGCGCGTCGCTTCCAGGGGACGCCCTAGCACTTACACAATGATCAAAAGGATTCATGTCATGATTTTTTCGACAAGTTTTACGCTGGCTGTCGACTACCTAACGCAACCCTCCACTTTTCTCATCCGGGCTTGGGACCGGCAACGGCAGTGTTAGTAATAAGGGTTTTATCGTTAGTATTAATGAAACAGCACCATCTTAACATCGGCACTTGTAGTTCATCCACATAATATAATTGCCTAGGCGAAAGTTTATAATAATTTACATCAAATGAAAATTGGAGAAGCACATTACACCTATCAAGAAAACCACAGTGCAATCACCTAATAGATAAATGAGACATGAAAGATTAGATAATCTCCAAACTCAAGCGACCTAATCAAAATTTGTCAATTAATCACTTGAAAATATACCTCTCAGATTAGAAATATTTGCTTCGAGAAAATGAGAGCGGATATACTAAGTAGGATAGTGGTCCACTTGTTACGTACTGGATTCGTGTCATGTTAAAAGAATAATGAGAAGTTGGAAGGTTGGAATGATCAAGAGTGGTTTTCTCCTTAACGGAGTTAATAAAAGAGGAGGGAGTTGCTCTTCTTGTTGGTGGTGAACAACAACATCCAAAGAGTACAAGGAGTTCTTGTTGGTGGAGAG